CCTCCTCCTCCCCCTCCTCCTCCTCCTCCTCCTGCTTCTCCTCCTCCTCCTCCTCCTCCTCCGCCTCCTCCTCCTCCTCCTCCTCTTTCGCCTCCTCCCTCCTCCCGCCCTCCTGGCTGCTGTTGCTGCCCCTTGCCTGGGGCTGCTGCTACCGAATTGACCCATTCCAGAACTGACCTGCCCGACGAAAACACGACGAAATACATAGAGTGGTCGTGAATCTACGGGGCATTCTACGAACATCGGTTTTGTAGATCCGGCGGGAAGAACCGATCTGGGGCACAATAGTGCTGTAGTCATTCCCCTACTGGAGCTCTGTCGCAGGCCTATAGGTTGACGCCAACACCACTATCGGCGGTGTGCCTCAACCGAGGGAAGAAGATCCCAATCTCGGCGATGGCGGTCATACTCTGGCTTCCAAGGAGGCCGACATATTACCACCAACACCGAAGTCTAGGATCATCTCCCCCCTGTGGAGGCAACCCCATGCGTTGGTGGTGGTGCCCATTTCCAGGCCTCCAACTCTGCGGCGCCCCCCTGCCTGGCGTCTTGTCGATCTTGAATCGTGCCAGAAGGCCATTCCTAGGACTTCAACGCAGAGAATCAACGTAACTGTTGCACCCGCATAATCTTGAACCCTTTCCAAAACACCTTTTTATGGTACGCTGATGATGAGCATCCGTGAAAATCTTGCAAACGTTTAAATCTAATGTGCGCGGTGCTAAGGCGAGCGCCACATTTTGAAAAGGAACCGCCCTCAATCCGTGAAGCTCTTGCAATTCTTCAACGGGTACACGCGGCGCTGAGGCAAGAGCCACATTTTGGAAACCACTCGCCCTCAATATGTGAAGCTCTTGCAAACGTTTACACGGAACGTGCGCGGCGCTAAGGCGAGAGCAACCTTTTGAAAATCATTCGCCCTCTATCCGTGAAGCTCTTGCAGTTTTCTAAAACGAATGTGCGCGGCGCTAAGGCGAGAGCCATATTTTGAAAGCCATTCGCCCTCAATATGTAAAACTCTTGCGAATGCTTACAACGAATGTGCGCGGCGCTAAGGCGAGAGCCACATGTTGAACGCCACTCGCCTTCAATCCGTGAAACTCTTACAACTGTTTAAAACGAATGTACGCGGCGCTAAGGCGAGAGTCACGTTTTGAAAACGACCCGCCCTCCATCAATGAAGCTGTTGTCAATTTGTTAAGCCTCAGGGTCATACCTGGTGGGGAAGTCTCAGGCGAAACGCCAGGCCCGCCCTACAAACTCGCCTTGGGGTGCGACAGGGCAAAGTTATTGATAAGGAAAAGGAGTGGAGGAGGAGGAGGAGGAGGGGGAGGGGGAGGAGGAGGAGGAGGAGGAGGAGGAGGAGGAAGCGGGAGGAGGAGGAGGCGGGAGGAAGAGGAGGCGGGAGGACAAGTTTGGGGCATATCAATTCTGCAGTCGATCTCCCCTCCTCGAGCTCTGCGGCGGGCCCCCCTTGCTGGCGGCTGGCGGCCTCCGCGCCCCCCGCCCCCTCCCCAGACCCCCGACGTCGTGATTGTTTCATGACGTCGACCCCCGGAGGTTTCGACCTGTTCCCCGCCTGGCACCGGCTGTTCATCCCGAGTCGTTTTTTGATGGTCCCGAGGCCCGGTGAGTGTCCCCAGGGGCCGAAAATGGCGAAACAATTTCCCGTCATGATCTTGTCACTGCTGTTAAGTCGGGCACGTCCCCCTACAGGAGGAATATTCAAACATAGTCGACAAGATCGTAGGGGGACGATTTTGTGACTATTTTGGTTTATTGTTGCATACTGTTTGGCTATGTTTTATTTCTCGTCCAGAATCCGCCTGTAGGAGGACACGCCCGACCTAAGATTACTCGAGGGTGGCTGGGCCCGCGCCTCCCCGGCCGAGCCCCAGGCCCCGGCGTCTTGCCCAGCAGTGAGTCCAGCACGTGGGCGATTTCGGAAAAACCCTGAACCCTCCTCCCCCTCGTCCTCCTCCTCCTCCTCCTCCTCCTGCTCCTCCTCCGCCTCCTCCTCCTGCTCCTCCTACTCCTCCTCCTCCTCCTCCTCCTCCTCCTCCTCCTTCTCCTCTCCTCCTCCTCCTCCTCCTCCTCCGACCTGTTACATTTCGAGAAATCGAATTGAACATGTCAAAAAAAGACCAAGCATCCGTCGAGATTTTTTTGCCAACTAGCCCCCCAGCGCGCCGGAATTACTCTTTTAGCTTCGCCGCTAACGCTTTTAGGGAAGCTCTACGAGTCATTTCATTACGTCCCTGGCCCCCCCGCTGGGCCGCGCACGTGCCGCCGGTCATGATTCGCACCCACCCCTCTTGGACACCCCCCTTTTTGCCGCTCCCGATTCCGAGCCTTCTGGGCTGGCCCTCCCCGTCGCACTTCCCCCCCGGGCTCGCCGCCGACAACAAGGGGGCCCTCCCCGGGGCTCGCCGCCAAAGGGGGCCTCCTTGGGCCCGGCGGAAGGCATCTCTCTCGTCGCCCTCTCCGCGGCCCCTGCCTG